AGCCTGAACTAGTTTTACACTCTTTTTTACCTCATTGTGTTAGCATTTAACGGTATCTAGTTTGTAGTCATATCCGTCTTTTGATGGAATAGGAATCTATCTCAACAATTACCAAGTAAAAGGTTGGGAATGAAAAAGAAAAGTTTAATTGCAGATAAACCCAATGTACTATAGTCGTGTGACTATTTATATCCTCTTTAAGTATTTTACTAGCACATGCACTCGTTGAACAGCCTGAACTAGTTTTACACTCTTTTTTACCTCATTGTGTTAGCATTTAACGGTATCTAGTTTGTAGTCATATCCGTCTTTTGATGGAATAGGAATCTATCTCAACAATTACCAAGTAAAAGGTTGGGAATGAAAAAGAAAAGTTTAATTGCAGATAAACCCAATGTACTATAGTCGTGTGACTATTTATATCCTCTTTAAGTATTTTACTAGCACATGCACTCGTTGAACCTTTGACATCCTTACATTTCCCCCCTCAACTTGGACCCCAACTTAGTTTTTTTAGTGTTAAATTGAGGACAAAATGTTATTTGTTGTACTGCAGTATTCTATCATGTGACATTTCAATAAAAAAAAGAAGCTAGAAATGATGTCGTCTTGAGTTCTCACAAGGTGCTAGAGCTAATGAATAATTACAAAAGAGTGTGATTAATTCCTACTATGATGGTCCTACACTCCTACTCCTACCTAATAACTTGCTTAACTGAAATGGTTTTAGAGAAGGGGAAATAAATGGTTAGGATTAGGTTAGTGATTGTGATTTCTATGACACTTCCTACCTAATTAAAAGAGTACTGCAATGATCAAATCAATGATGTCGCGTTCTTCTATGTAGTTTAGACTTGATTGCATGTTAGAAAAGGGTCAAAAAAAAAATTAGCAAGTTGTTTAAACTAGTAAAGAGTGATGCAAGCAAGCAAAGCATGTGGCCAGCCCAACCATTGATTGAAGGGCTCGTGCTAGTTGAAGAAAAGAGGCAACTTTTCCTTGGTGTGAGGTGGTGATTTAGTTCTATATTAAGCTCATGATCACGGAGCTTTGGCTCCTTTGAAGCGTTATTAATTAAGAAAGTTAAATTCCTTGCGTTTTAAATTGATTGGTGGGGTGGGACGCTAGGTTTACTTGCTCTAATTGAATCATGGAGCTAGAGGCCTACTTTTGACAAAAATGTGCTAGCTCTAAGTTGTCTCATGGAATCATATTATAGAAACAGAGAATACGATGCATGATTATAAAATTGCAGAGCTTGGGACCGTGTTACCAAGAGAAATTATTATATAGTATGGTCTGGACGGTAAAGAGCAAGGCTGATCATCTGAGTCTATGCTAAAAAAGGGTATAAAATCAAAATCATCTACTCGTACTGCAATTTTAAAACTGTGTTGTGGTGGTAGAAGTGATTTTTAAGATGATATTAGAATAACACAATTTTACGCTTTCAATTTTTGAGAATCAATTCGCAATCATGTCCTCTCTCAGATCATTAAAAACCAACCCATATCACATATTAAGCAACCCTTTTGTCCTTTCAATTTTGGTAATTTTCAATTAATGCCTATTATCAAATAAAAAAAAACTGATTAATCAAATGTTTAAATTAAAGATAAAAAATTAGAATTAAATCATGTTTGACATAATTAAAATAAAATCATACTTGACATATTAAAATAATTTTTTTTTATCATACTTGATATAATTAGAATTGAAGTTACGTCATAAACTATAATCATACTCTAATTGATTCTGAACTTTTATACACCAAACCTCTTCCTTTTTTTTTTCCTCATAAAATTGATTCAGAAATTGAGACAATTATGTCCATGTGCAGACCATACTAGTGTTATAAATAAATATTGAAATATTTGTGTATGAAAAAGCGTTAAACTTGCGAGAGCATGCTGGGTTATAAAGCCAGCCTCAAAAGTCCCATAAGAAATTTTAATTATGATATAATAATAATGGATGTCATTTTAAGGTAAACGGTTCCATAAATTTTACTTCTCCATATTTGGATGATCACTTGATTAGGAAGGTTATTATTCTTTGGAGATACAGAGTTTTGTGCTTTTAGGAAACACCTCTGTGGACTTGAATTTACTGCTGTTATGCTTATAGTGGTAAAAAAAACAAACCTAGCAATTAAACTTATTAGGTTCCCTTAACCTCATCTACATATTCTATCCACAGTAAGGATGGCCACCTCAGAGTTTGATCTCCTTGTGCTTCCCATAACTCCGTGATCTTATTAAGGGAAAAAGTCCACTAGGAACTAATCGCTTGCCTTTTTTCAGTGAGCGATCGAGGAGAAATTTCCTCAATTTAGCTTCACAACATCATAGTTTTTAAGCTTGAAATTTTCGCAAAGTTTCTGAAGCTTTTGCCCGAAGAGGGGAGAATTGCTTAAAGAATTCACACGAACATTCATTATTGATTTGAGCAAATGAAGCCGTACCTAGAAATTTAAGTTTAATACGTAGAAAGTAGAAAGCTATATAATGGTGTTTATTTTAATTGAAATCGATGTTGTTGGTCTTACGTATGCTTTCCACTTAAATACAAAAGATTAGACACAGCTAATTAATTACAACTCAGAATCGAAAAGAGTCGTGATGAATAACTAGCAGTCGACTATGAAATAGAAGCAGGATCTCGCCCCCAGTTCAATAACAACAACCGATCATCTGAAGACAATACGCATCTCAGCTTCTACGTTCTGACGAGAAGCTACCAGGATCATGAACCTGCGTTAAAGATATACAGCCATAACTTCTTAGGCTCGAGAACACGAGCCAAGACCAAATACATTTCAAAAACTTGTTCATTTATTTTTGCTGATATAAGTTAGCGCAGGCAGGCGAGTTACCGAGTGAGCGTAAATGGGATTTTATTTGATCAAACCTTAATTAAAGACCCTTGAGCATTGCCCAATAGCGTCTAAAGTCTTGATGGTAGTTGCAAACTCTGAATTATATGTTTTTCAAGTAAATAGCACCTTTCGCCCATTTTCACCGAAAGAAAATGAATCTGAATTCCTCTTATAAACGTAAACGGAAGCAAAACATAACGCGTGCGCATTTCTAATTAAGATGTCACAAGCGAGCAAGTGATAGTAGGATGTTCATGTAATCTACCGAGCGTCATTATCAACAAAATCAATTCATAGATATTTCACGAGCCATATAAATTCAATAAACAGTTTAATAGAGAACATCAGGCAAGCTTTGCAATACTGTTAACCTGAAAACCGTATCTATTTATATCCTACAAAGGAGTCGACTCCAAGAGCATATACAAACGTTTTCCTTTTTCTTTTTTCTTTTTTAAAGCAATAACTATTTCACACAGGTAGGAAAAATCTGTGAAAGTGTAATAAATTAGTCGACCAAAGTCAAAACTGCAACCTCATCTCCAACTTAATAACGATACAAAAGTAGGAAAAAATACAGAAAGGGAAACAAACTCAATGTACGGGCAGAGCCCACCCCCATCAAACTTGTTTGCTATATTTCCCAAAACTTCGAGCAATTGCAGGCTCCGATAATATGTCCCATACTTTAAGTCCGCCTTTTTTCCCTCCAATTGCAAGCAGGAAAGGGGTATCCTCAGAGAAGGATATTGAAAAAATGCGTCCCTGACAAAGTTTTAATTAAAGGTCATTCACAAGAGTTAAGGGTAGAAGAAGTTACAGAAGTTGGGATTACATCAGAGTCAGCAGTACTAGTGATTATAGCCCTATAGCTGAATTATTAAACTCCAAAAAGAGTAGAGGTTTAAAAAATACACTACGACATCAAAGTAGTGTTTAGAGAACTTGTCTATCCTCCAAAAACAAAGCGCAATTTAAACAGCGCCGAGAAATTATGATAATTTTAAATGATAGCATGCAGAAGACTCAAGAATTGTTGGATTCGGTATACCGTCGACATCAAACAAAATGATGAGGGTTATATTTATCACTGGATATATAGTATCACTGTTCCTAACGATAAAAATAAGAGTACTATTTTGATCTGTAGATGGCACTACATCATGATTGTCATCTTCTCGTTACTATATACTTGTCCCATAAATTTCAAGCGGTGCGAGTGTGCAACTACACTGCCTCTGAGCAAACAAAAAAGGAAAAAGGAAAAAGAAAAGAAGAAGACAGTTGATGAATAATCTAATTAATTTTCTTCTATGAAATTTTGTCTACACGTCTTCCTTTCATCCAACTGTATTTATTAAGAAAATTAAACTCGTTATTGCCATTTCCAGTAAGTGCATGAGCCATCCTTAGATCCATGACATGAGTCTCACTTACCCCATTATTCCTATACATAAGATAGATATAACGCAGGTTTTCACCAGGAAATAAAAGTTCTAAAAGACTTACTGATTTAGTATTCTGAGACGCAACACATGATGGTTGGTTGTTTGATAAGTCCCAGAGCTTCACCTAAAATACACGATTGCAGTCAGCAATTTTGTCAAATGCTTAGGTTCATATATTAGAAATTAAGAAAAAGTCTTACCATTTTATCAAGAGATCCTGTGGCAAAAAGCTGCACCCAAAACAGAATAGTAATAAGTACGGTCACTGACAATAGTAATTCCTTTGCTATGTAAGAGTTATGGGGTCTAGAAAAATACATTAGGTGCAATAGGATTGTAAGAAACAGAAGTAACAGCTGCATCATGTGCATGAAGAGTAAAAGTTGACTTGGAGCCAGAGTCTGAGTTAGATGAAGCTGTCCTGACATCAAAACCTTGAACTGTGCCATTATCAAGACTAACCTGTACCACATTGAACATACAAGAAATGTAGAAGTAACTTGAACTAAAGGAATTGATGTAAGATTTAATAAAATCATTCTTCCAAGTCTACTGCTCCTAAAAGGAACCCCTGCTGTTAAAAAATTCCCTCGTGTGGATCCCAAAGGTTTAAAGAAAAGCCTAAGAACAATGTTAAACTCAAAGCTTACCACAAAACTGTGCTCATTGTGCGGATCCCACGCTAAGCTCTCAACATCAGCTGGTATAGACCATTTATTGCTGGGATTTTCCATGTTTCTACAATCCATCTGCATGTTAAAAAATATAATGGACAATTAGCGATAGCATTGACAACAGATCATATAAAGTATAACATGATTGTTTTATCTGCCATTAAAATGTCAGAATTGCAATTGCCTCTATAGTTTCAAATTAAAAAATGGTTAGGGATACACCGCCTAAACTATTTTATACTGCTTACACCCCCTGAATCCTAGAGGAAGTTAAACTTGTTGCCGTCAGTTTAGATGGAAACTTAGCAAAAGGTAATTTATCATCATGTAACTCCTATATTATATGTTAATCCAAGTTGGGAATAATGTCGTCTGGAATTCAGAGGGTGTAAGTGACTAGACCAGACTAGATGAGACCAAAGGAAACATGTGGCATTGATGAAGATATGAACACTAAACAGGAGTAAGTTCACATGTTCAAGCAGTCTAATAAAGGTCATCTGTTTGCACATTTTCATCAATTGTCATAAATAGGGCTTGCATTGTTTCCAAGTCAGAAGTGCCTCACAATGCCCATAGTGAAAATAGATTTTCCTCCAAAATACCCACTGTCCAACCACTTGGCGTACCAAAACTGCTAGTGCCATCAAAGAATTAATCACATAAGACCATGATCGTAGAAATAAGTAGATAACTAATAGCCAAATTCACCTATTAATTAGAGTATGATGTATCTTTCTACCCCATATATACCAAAAGAGAAAACACTAGTTAGTTTGGTCCTCCCACTTGAGACTAGATGATGAGCACATTGACTCCAATTATGTTATCCCCTATATTTTTCATAAAAACTAAAGAACAGGAAATAAGTTTTATTCAATAAAAGCATGAGGAATACTTGAGAAGAGTAACAAAACACAATCCCCAGATGCAGGGCAGAAAGAAGGTAAAAGCAATTTGTACTACTTCTTTGGCCACACAAAGACTAGGAGAGAAATCAAGCCTACAAAATCATCATCTAAGTATCTGATTCTAGAAATTAACAGCAAATAAAGAAGATACAAACTTGACAGCAAACAGAATTAGATTTATTTGCTCAAGGTAAAGCTGAACCTCCATTACTTAATAGATAATTGTGTCCAACACCCATAAATAGATACAAAATGATTCCTTACCATGACAATTGATCGATCAAAAGACCCACTGATAAGTGATTCTGCTGAATGCCGGTTCCATACGACGGCTTGAACCTGTAAAGATGTCAAAAGAATCATCAGAGACAATTTTATGTCACTAAATTACTAAGCAGTGGTATGGTTAACAGTTGTTTGAAAAGTCTGGTAGTGTTGCAGAATAATCATGTAGTCAGATGATGAATCAAGAAAGTTTATTTGCACTTGTTCAAATAGCAAATAGCAAGAAACACCATCTTAATAAATTTTCATCCAGGACTGAGAATTTGCATACTTCTCTGTTTTAGGTGAAACATACAATATGTTTCCTAAATAAATTCTCAGACAATGTTTTTTGAACCGCAGAAGACTGGCTTCACAAGTAAATGGAGACACAAACAAGCTATGTCTGCCCATTATGCCTAAAGACCCCAAGTGAATGAAAACTAGTCATAGTAACACCGAATCCAAAAATGACACTTTATGTACATCGCCCTTCTTAAAGAGAGGGTTATTGGTGAAGTATAGCATACATCTTCAAATTAATTTCAGCTTCTCCATGTTAATGTCAGGCAGTGTTGAATTAGATACAAGTTTTTAGTTTATGAGAGAGTTGGTGCACAAGAGAGCGAAGGAAAAAGAAGAAAAGTTGTTTTTCCGCCCTTTTTTCCTTTTTTTCCCCAAAAATGGAAGAGCGGGAGAGTGAGGTAGTCTAGGGATTTGGGAGGCCATCCTCACTAGAACTGTGGAAAATAAATTTAACAAATTTTAATCCACTGTATGCTGAAATAGGTATTTTGCATCTAAAATGAACGTAGCCAAGTTCATCATACCATGGACAACTCCAATAGCAGATTAAAGATAAGAACGTACTTTCTGTCAGAAGGTAAAAAGAAATGTACATGTGTGTGAAAGTTCTGTTTTCATAATAGATGGTGACTCCTAAAGCAGCAGCAGAACTTAGAACAACAACAAAAACTTCATTCAGCCTTTTGGTTTCGGGGCTTTCGCCTGCATAAATCCTCTTTATATTAAGTTCTGTTAAGGGTCATCTCCATCATCAAATATTTAAGATACCATTTTAACTACCTTTACCAGCGTAGAACTCTACTTCCATAATAGACGTAGATTAAAGATAAGAATGTATTTTCTTCAAAAAGATAAAAAGAAGTGTACATGTGTGCATAGAAATCTGCATTCATAATAGAAGATGACTCCTAAAGAAGCAGAAAATTTTGAAGCAACAAAAACTCCATTCAACCAAAAGGGTTCACCTGCAAGAATCCTCTTTTTATTAAGTTCCTGTTAACTATGATACTGTAACTCCTGATTAGCACAGGTACTTTGTTAAAATTCTCAAACCATCTAAAACAATTCTGACGTACAGTGATCCTAAGTAGGCACTACCACTAACTGCTTACGGATGCACTTGATCCTTATCCTATCCCTTACTGCTTGATCCTCGTACAAGTCATCATTCTTACAGCTAAACTTGTTTTCTTGACAAGTTCTTTCTTAATTGACCAACAACATTCTTACTATGAAGCACTTTTAGTTGAGTAGCTGTTTTATAGACTCTTCCCGTCAAGAGTACAAGATCCCTAAATACCTTCTAGAATCAATCTGACCTTGTGTCATCAAAAACCTTAGAAAACAATTTAGTCCTCGAAGGCTCTGTTTATAAAGTTTCCTTTTAGTTGGTAAGTTAACAAGATCCTATCCCAATTCACACTCTGCGGTACAAAGAACACTGATTTCTCTCTACTGCATCTAACCTTGTAAACTTGCTACAAGAGAAAATCAAGGTGAATATAGCAGGAGTAAAGCACAAGGCAAAATCAAATGGAAACGTTAGAAGAATTTAGTGAAACAAGGGACAACAATATCAAGGACCAAAAAGTTTCCAAAAGTTCAAAGAGCAGCACAGGCATAACTAATATCTGATATCCAAATTAGCACTCTCAGTATTAACGACAGGCAAGTACAATTAGATGGTCAGCGCATCAACAATCAGTCTCCAAATGTGATACATTTAGCTTCTAGTATATTCAGAAAGGATGAAAGCATATCAGATGAAAGTATAATGACTTGCCTTGTCTGTGTGGTGCTTGGCTGTGGCAACACATTTCCTCTTCTCCAAATCCCAGATCTTGACAGATTTGTCAGCACTCGCACTAGCAAGTACATTCCTGGATTTCAAGGCAAATAGATCAGAGTTCCAGGATGATGGTGACAACTCTAAAGTGTTGGATTATCATTAATCAGGATAGTACTCACCGGAACTCTTTATTCCATGCAAGACCAAGCACAGATCCTTTGTGACTACCTGATTTGTACTTCCCAGATTTCTGCAGATACAAAATAAAATACAATGCTTAAGACTTGCAACATTATTTGCCTCAGTCGAAGAATCACATCCACTAAGAGATGCAATATCCTTGTGTAACCCAAAAAAAGTTTAAAATGTATTAATAAAAGTTTAAGCAGACGTGTTTCTCAAAAATTGAGACCTCTATTTCAGTTTTCTCAAAGCTTAAAAGAGAATGGTATAGCAAGTAAGACTTCAAGCAGACACTAAATTATTGGCCATTTTTTGTAACAACATGGTCTTAGTCCAGATTTAAGTCCTAAATGAACACAAAGCTTTGTGAAATATTACAGAAGACGCATAAGACAAAGGCTGGTATGATGAACTTGTCCAGAAAAAATGAGAATCGTGCAATAAAAAAATGTCACAGGGTAGATTTGATATCAATGCCGGTAACAGACTTGCTTAAATTCCTTGACAGAATGACTTACCTCTGATCTTCCCCCCAATGCCATAGATGGATTCTCCTCCTTGATCTGTTCATAGAAAACAAGAAAAGGCAGTAAGGGTTAGGATGGTAGTGTCGTAATGCGGAAAAAGAAAGATAAAGAGGAGTGTTAGAACAACAGCCCTAACAAGTCTACATTATCCTGAATGCGTACCAAATCAAGGTCCCAAATTTCAATAGCCGGTTCCATGGTACCAACAGCTATAAAGTTTCCTGCCAGTTTTCAAAATAATAAACCAAAGGTGAAACAAAAGAACATCAGAAGTTTCTAATTATTCATAAACCAAATCAAGGATACTTACAAAAACCTCACAAATGAATGCAAATAACACAATAAGAGAGCTTATTTAGCATACTTTGCCATATATACAAGGGCGGATTATTTAAAGCCTCGCTACACCCCCTAAAATTTTTAAAATTTACACTTAAACGCTAGTAATACCCTCCCTCCCTCCCTCATTCAAATTAAAAATAATAAAACCTAAACAAAATTCAAAAAAATTTAATATATCAAGAATACAAATCACTAAATTAGTTTTATCTGTTTCACTAAAAATTCAAGTATACCAAAGTGTAAAAGGAATATATGGTTAATAGATTATTCTTTAATTCGAGAATTTGAGTCATATAGAAATTAGACATTGTAGAAAGGAAAACATGTGAGAATTGGCAACTAAATATAAGTTAAAAAAAGCAAATATTGATTAATTAGAATAATAGTTTGATATTGATTATCTTGCTTAACTCTATTTTAGTTGTGAACAAATATCTCAAGAAAAAGCCACTAACGGAGCATCAAGCATCAATTATTCCAAATTTAAACAATCTTGAGAATTTACAACCTAGTACAAAACAAAACAATGGAGTAAACTTGAAAGCAGGTACACTTCAACCGAATATTTTAGATATCACCTCAATAATTTATTTACATAAAGGACCTTGTCTACCACGCCAACATAAATTTGTGCAAACAGAACTTGGAAACTATTTGCGTCAATTCAATCCCAGTTGATTTAATAGATACTTGTTATCCACACACACACACACACACACACACACCCAAAAAAAAAGGATTATGGATCCGCCACTGCATGTGTGTGTGTGTTTTGTGAGAAAGAAAGAGAGGGTCAGCAAAGCTTCTGGTACCTTTATCCTCACTTCCAGGTTTAAAATCAAGCCAGGCCGTGCAGAGTGGAAAAGCAGATAGGATTTTCTCCTGATGAGTGAACATATTAGATTCCCCATCTTCAGATTCTTCATAAATTGAAACCTGCCATTTGGATAAAAAAAATTAAGTGGTTAAGACCATACACTGATGAAGGACTGTAGAACTAACAGTTTGCCGAAGCCTAAAGTCCCCTTCATGTAATTGCACCAAGTATAATCGAAAACCCAAGAACGTAAAGACAATTAATTCATAAGTAAATATTCTTCTATCAATAACTACCCATCAGGAAGTAGCATAAAAGAGTAATAAACATTGGTAAAAGCAGCAAGTCTTATCCCTTGTTTTCAACAATTGAGGTATCAAGGAAAAAAATGCTTAAGTATTAGCATTGTCAAGTGAGAATAAAGAATTGCAGGCTCTGCATTTAAACCAGTAAATAAAGACAAAAATAATGAAACCTTAGCTCCAGCTAACCTTTATATCCATGCCCTAGATGTTTTTAAATGGATGCAAATGCTAATCTCAGTGTTTGAAAATTGTTAAAATTGTCCAGACAGATAAATTTTAGTAAAGTTTTCTTGTACTGAGGTGAATATATGACCAGGAAAGTTGACATAAAATGATCTAATCATAAGCATGGTGGTCATGGGCTCTCTGATATTAGTTCAACAATCTAGACATTTAATTAATAAAAATCAAGCTAGATTAAACCTCAAACTGCAACTTAATGGTTTACTATTTCTCATATCTTCTATGTTACAATGTGCAAATGGGATGAGTTCAATTCAATAGGGCCCAGAATTTACATGATTATGCAACTAAACATAAGTTCAAGAATCAGTCACAATAGTTGGGTCTACACACTGCATACAAGTGTGCTACCTGAAAAACTTTTCTCAGAAAAATATTCCATCAATCATATTGAAGCAGCAGGCATACATAGGATTACAAAAAAGCAAGGAAGTTTGTGGTCTCAGAACACAATTCATTCTCCTGTCTCCCACCTCCTCTAACCTAGTTGTTGCTTGACGATATATACCTTCCATTCTTCGTCATCCTTTTTTTGCCTTTCTATATCATCATGCAGGATCTTTTATCTTATATTCTTTCACTTTTAATAAGGTTGCCCTGTTACACAGAGCAAAGCATAACTGAAGCATATCTCGAATATTAAGGCAAACTAGGATCATGCTCTCAGAACAGTTAATTAAGTATTAATTTAATGTTATGATAGGCGTACTGTAATTTTTTTTTATGTGAGATGGCTTAACAGAAGATAGGTGACTAAAAACTGAAAGTAATTCAAGGTTATTGTTCATGTGGTCTGCAACATATAAGAGGAAGATCATTATCCTCGCACCAAATTAGAATCAACTTGTGATCGGGGCTTCAAAATTAAAAAAAAACAATGAAGAACTCAAACAAGGATATGTAGACAATAATTATTAGTTTAAGTTGAAACATTTTGTCATAAGTTGAACATATCACTCAACCTGATAACTTGTTTCCTCCTCATGCCGAATCAAAATCAGCTACCATTTGGATTGATTTGTGTTTGAGAAACACTTTTGTGTCCGGCCAAGCTATTTGTAAATGTATAATTTTAGAAAGTCATCAGAGTGCAACCTTCGTATCAACCGAAACCAATGTTACCAAGTGTGATATGCAATGCGGGGCACAAAGTCCCTTTATGCGCACATGGGCAAGGCACAGTGAAATGCGTGCGGCCGAGTGAAGCAAAGCACACACCGCACACATAATTTTTCAATATAGATAATCAAGCATGAAAGAATATCTTTAGGAATTTTCACATAAAATTGTGTCAAGATAAATAAATTTTACTATCAAATCACAAAATAAGGTCTTAATTCAAAATTCTAACACATCCAACATAATACGAAAGTTCATAATTTTCTAATTCAAAAGTCAAATCAAGACCAATGCCAAAACAAGATCAAATAGTAAACAAAAAACGAGTTAGGGTTCTCAATCAGGCTACTAAAATGGCCTAATGAGTTTTACTTTTCTTCTTGGGATATGGGTTATCAAGTACAAAGACCCGACTGAAATGTTAAAGAACAAAACTATATGAGGCTATGGCCACTATGCCATGCACGCGCCCCGTGGAAGTGCCCTTGCACCTGCAAGATGCAAAAATGCTATGCCGCATTAGATCCGGGTTCTTCGCCACCGCCATGCATCGCAAGGCACATGAGGCGCAATGAGTCACACGTCTTTGATAAAAATGACCGAAACCTAACACAACTTATCAGCCATAGTCATGCATGATCATGATCATGCTCAGAATTTTTACCTCCCATCTATCTGAAATATCCACAAATGAACTCTAAAGGCATAGGTCTGGACCAATCATAGAACAACCATGTATAAGGAACTAACTTAAAAACGAATGAACAAACAAAGCAAGACCAGTTTCCATGTTTTGTCAATACGAGTTCACCAGGATTCATGCTTCTCCATCCAGATAGGCATAGTGCACTAAGCATTCAACTATCTTTGTGTTGATAAGATAGTTATTGCTTCAAATAATAGCTTGTGGTATGCACAGTTAACACCATAATTTCTTCTATAAGAAGAGATTTAATTATTCAGCAAAAAAATAAAAGGTAAGAGAAACATATGAGTTCATAAGTAATTACATGCCTGGAGATAACTATACTCATCCTCCTCATCAGTACATGCAGAAACTATCACTGCATCTGTTGGCTTAATGACCATGTCATCAATCTCTTCGTCCTCATCATCCTGTTCCAACCCATCATGACATATTAATAAGAGAACTATATATAATATATTAATGTTTGAGATTTGAAACATAAAACTCGCCTGAACTTTGGGGAGTTGCAGTAAACCCCTCTCAACTTTTTTTATTCCGCTAAACCCCCCTAAACTTTAGAGGTTATTGCACACAGCTCCCCTAAACTTATTTATTTACCTAAAAATTTCTCATTTAATCTCCAATTAGCATCATCGATTCAAACATCTCATGCGGCAAGTATGTGGCCAAAAAAAGTTGAAAATAATCCTTTAGTCTCAAATTCTCCTTTTCAATAAAAGGGTATTTTCCTAGGGGAAGGAATTATTTGTCCTCTTTTTTTGTCTTGTGCTTACCTAATGACATTAGAATTGATGGTACTAATATGGGGATTAAAAGATAAGTTTTCAGGCAAGACTAAGTGAAATAAATATGTTCTGGACGTTTGTGTCCAATAACTCCTAAAGTTCGGGGGATTTAGTGGAAAAATGTTGAGGGGGTTTACTGCAACTCTGCAAAAAGTTCAGAGGGGTTTTCTATAATTAACACTAACTAAATTACTCACATCTTTGTCTTGCAAATAAGGGTCCATGTCATTACTCGGGTAGTAAAGGTTGCCCACTCCAGCAGCAATGCAATCAGGGACTAAAAGATTTACACAGAGCATATAAAATAGTTAAAACTATAATATAATCTAACACATGAAAGTTACATTATAAACCTAAATGGACGCTACAGCATCAATTAGGAAAATATAATAAATTATAGTTAATGAGGCAAGGAGGACCAGAGGTAGGCCTAACAAGACTTGGTTGAAGCAAATAAAAAGGATATAGTTTAACTTAACTGAAGCAATATCCTTAACGAAACTGAATGGAACAATATGATTCTGGTAGCCGATCCAAAATTTTGGGATAAAGGCTCCGTTGTTAAAATTTTGGGATTAAAGCCCTTTTGTTGTTATTGCCATTGTTGTTGTAAATAACTCAAGTTGAAGCCCAATATAATCTACCACATGAAATTTCATTACAACACAAATGGGCACAAAATGAACTGGTTGTGAGAGTTAGGAACTTAGGAGAAGTGATAAGATTATAGTTATTGTGACAAGGAGGAACGGAGGTTGGTCTAAGAGAACTTGCATGAAGAAATGGAGGAGGGTACATTAATAATTAACTCAATGGAGGAGATAGCCACAAATGGGAGGATTCTGTGTAGCCTACCCAAAATATTTGGAACTGTTGTTGTGGTTGTATACAAATAAGCCAAACCCAAGATAATCTAACACATGAAACTTACAATACAAAGCCTAATGGCCAATAGTTGAAGAAGTTACCGTCATCCTCGTTATCATAGCCGCTCATGAGCTCATTAAGCCGACTAGCAATGTCATTTACATCGGTAGAGCTCTTGTTTCCTTTACTCTTTCCGAGGCCCTCAACAGCAGCTAATGCACGGGCAACTTCATCCCCCTCTTCAGAACCGTCCACATCCATTTCCCCCTCATCCTTCTCCTCTTCACTTGCTTCACTGCAATCAAAGTTTAAACCCTATTTCAATAAATAAATAAAACTAAAGCAATCAGAAAAGGAGGAAAACAGATCATGAACTCTTGCTTTGCTTCCTCGATTTCTTCATTGGAGTCTGGCTCAGTGGCCTCCTCGGGGACAATCTTGGCGACCCCCTTGGGGACCCAACATACAGCAGCGATCATTTTCTACAATTAACAGCTGGATCCACGATGAAATAAAAAAAAGATAAGAGCTTTGCAGTTAACTATTAGATTAAAAATGAAAAAAAATGAAGCTTTTAAGATACTTAACTAGAAAAATGCAACTATTTCAATGAATCATACAGAGAGAGTCCCTTGAACTTACTTAAAATTCCAAAGATTGAAGTTTGCAAAGCCCACCGGTGATACCTACTTTGGGGAGAGAGAGAAGAAGGCGGCTGGAGATTGGAAGTAAAGGGTTAATTAGTGTTTTAGAGGATGATGGGGATGGAAGAGGAGGAGAGGATAGTAGAAACGGGTCGGATTCGGAATCATGAGTATCCGAATCACATGCAGCACGAAAATAAGGGTAAATTTCACAAAAGCCCACAAACTTTGCAAGTCTCCCACTAAACCCCCTAAACTTTTTTTTGCCACCAAACAACCTGACTTTAGGCATCTAACCCCCCTCCCCCACCCCCCACCCCCCAAAAAAAAACCCAATGTTGAAATTTTCCCAATTGAACCCTTCATGTGCATGACACATAGCCAAAATGTCATTGAAAGGAGAGAAAACATGTCCCTCAAAACTTTGGGTGTCTCACATCACCCTCCTAAGCATCTAAATTTTTCTGATGGACCTCGCTAGATGTAAATAACAAATAAGTATAATGTCTTTGAGAGAGAAAAAAACTCGTCCCCTCATCTTTCCGCTTGTGATAGAGACAAAACCAATGGGCAATGTGAGCTAAAACTCATGGACAATGGATAGTGGCAAGCCAAGGATTTTGTCATAATGATGTCCCCATATAATTTATTATGGTTGTATTTTGGAATCTACAATGATAAATTTATAATTTTATATCTTTTAGTGGTGTCCTAACCTAATTCTGATGGTGTCGTAAGTAGTAAATACAAGTAAAAATAAATAAATAAAATATGTATAAAGTAGACAATCTAATGTTGTCCTATGCCACCACTAGCTAGACACTATTGCGGCTCCCCGGCTGGCAATGGCATCGAGAAATTGTGTTTGAGAACTCGCAAGTACACTTGGGGATATGTTAGACTGCAGGAAGGGTGGAAGCGCAATATTAAGACAAGTTCTCATATGAGTTTACATGTTACAAAAAGCGCTAGGCTGCTTAGAGGCCTAGGCATTTTTCTATTTATTGTTATTTAATTAAAATAATTGACAAAAAAATAGTAAATACTAAATACTACGAAACACCAACATATCCAACGTAATCAATCATGCATTATGGCTGTCCTATTATCAATTTAATTAACTAGTTATGAATTAAGTTAACAGCAAACTAAGTAACCCAGCTCAAATTGACTTTGTGAACATAAAATTAAAAAGTTAAAATGAATAGTTAATCACCCATTCATAACAGGGAGTTAGATCAAATAAAAAGTCAGAAGCAAAAAAAGAACTAAAAAAATAACAAATTTGATCAAAACAGTTTACCTAATCAAGTCGTAGGCGGCCGGAGCAGTGTCGAGGGAGGAGCAGCGACGGGGGAGTTGTTGAAGAGCGAGAAGCAGCGGCGAGAGGAGGAAGACGCAGCGGCGGCGAGGCGGAGAAAGAGGAAGAGGAGCAGCGGACGGAGGCGAGGAGGGAGAGAGCGGAGAGGTGGTGGCGGTGGCGGTGGCGGAGGAAAGACGAAGGAGAGGAACGGGAGGGAGACTAGGGTTGTTGGATCGGTCGGGGATTTCCGGGGTTTTGTTCGGGTTTACGGGTCGGGTTTTCTTATTAGTTAGGCCTATTTTGGTGTGGGCTGGGCTGATTTGGGTTTACTGCCATTTGTTTTCATTTTTCCCTGTTTTGTTTTTTTAAGCTGGATGCCCATCCATTAGGCGGGGTGCCAACGACACGCTAATTTTAGGCAGCTGGAAGGCCCACTTACGCCTACGCGGGCGCCTGGGCCGCTTTTAAAATGCTGTTTACTAGCCTTGAGGATAATTTCACCCGGGATAATTATAATTACACGTCCTTTGCATAACGTACCTCCACAACTGCCACCATCTCGTATCTACAAGCTCTTTGCATAACGTATCTCCCACACTGCAACCATATCGTTTCCATATCCTCTCTAGAAAATTCTACTTCCAATTAGCTAACACTAGAAAAATTATAGCCAAAATTATCTTCTTCTCCTTTTTAGCC